CATCCCACTACCGGTTCAACCCACTACCGGTTCATCTCGGGCTGTTTCATCCCAAATTTACCTGGGTCCTTTCATCCCACTTATATTGGGTCCTTTCATCCCACAAATTTAAAAACAGGTATTACATGAATTTTTAATATTTTATTTATACATTAATACCAATGACAATATGCCAATGCAATTTTATCATGAATAGTGTCCAAATTCTTCCTTTGCATACGTTTAGCTTATTTTCCGATTATTTTATTTATAAAATATGTCAATGCAATTTTAACATGAATAGTGTCCCACTTCTTCCTTTGCATACGTTTTAACTTATTTTCCGAATCCACACCAATTTCACTAAAATTACATCACTTACAATCGAAATGAAATGGGGTTTAACGTCCTACTGTTCTGCTCCTAAACTGGGGTAATGAAGACGGGCATACGCCATACAGTGTGCTATGAGGGAAATTTTGCCAAGGGATCTTTTACGTGCATGCCAATATGTACACGGGACCTCGGTTTTTCGTCCCATCCGAGCGACTAGACAGCTGTCCTCGAGCATTGCTCATAGCAAAACTTTCATCTTGTAATATAGTCATTTTCATGCATGTTGGTTTCACTAGAACAGGATTGCCCGTGATAGAGCAGATCAAAGAATAAAATTGCACGTAGCCATTATTTCGACACGTGTTATCTTCAGCTGTTCAGATTACCTGGTACTCAAATAACCCAATGTTAAAAGAAAGCATGCAGTGTCCACCTTACAACAGGTTCCATTGATTTACGATTTATTTGATAGTTTATCACACAGTTTACACCACAATGTGTTACAATTCGCATTTTGGTATTCTAAATTGATCCTATTCGGAATTCTTATATTTGGAGTTGTTTAGTTTCATTTCATGTACAGAAATTAAATCAACGAGTTTTAAAATTAATTATGGTTGGTTTCGAAATAATATCAATCTAATTTGTCTTATTTAAAAGGGGCTCCTGCGCAATTTAGTTGATTATTGGGTAATACGTAGAGTCCATGATGCATTTTGGCAAGTGATTAAGCTGCCAAAAGGGTGTGAAAGACTCGCCACCATGCTGTCATTGTGAACATTTATTTTGTGTATTCGATTAGTATAATGTGATCGGGTAATAAAATTCCGATGAATATGTTGCTAAAAATAGATGGCGCCTATTCACCATTGGTTAAGTTAACTGAAATGAAAAGTAGAACTCTCGCGGGACGTGAGAAATTACGAGAGATGGCACATGAAAATTTCCAATGAGAATAATTCTGAAAGAAATAGATTATATTTTGATGGAATTTTGCTTTACTACAAAAACATCGGTGAACTGACCTAAAATCTAAAATCATAACTGCAATTAACAAACAATACGAATATACAGCAAACTAATCTTGGTCGTGATTGGTAATCAACAAAAATTGACGAGTAAAACTTATTTATTCTATACATTGTTGTTTATTTATCAATAAGTAAGTGTTTAACAGTTATTTAACAATAAGTAACCAGAGGCTGCCAGGCAGGATACGCCCACATTTTCGAGAAATGGATAGAAAACAAGCTTAAACGAAAGTGATTTTTCCTACAATCAAGAGCCATAATTCAGGAAATTACAATTCGATATGCACAAATATCGAAAGGAACCGAGATCTTTGGGTTATAAACTTACTTTTCAAGTTTCAACAAAATTGGATAACCAGCGGCTGCCAGGCAGGATACGCCCACATTTTCGAGAGATGGATAGAGAACAAGCTAACAAGAAAGTGATTTTTCCTACAATCAAGGGCCATAATTCAGGAAATTACAATTCGATATGCGCATATATCGAAAGGAACTGAGATCTTTGTGTTATAAACTTACATTTCAAGTTTCAACAAAATCGGATAAAAATTGTGACCTCTATAGGGTCCACAACCTTGATATACCATATTTTTACGCTATTTGAGAACAAACGGCGGCCATTTTGTCTGTCATTTTTGGGGCGATTTTCACAAAATTCAAACTCAACTGTCCTTAGGGTGGAACGGTAATATAATAATACTGTTTTTTAAATCGGATAAAAATTATGACCTCTAATGGGTCCACAAGCTATAAACATGATTTTTCGTACAATCAGGGGCCATAATTCAGTAAGTTACGGTCTGATATGGGCAAATATTGAAAGGAACCGAGATCTTTGGGTTATAAACTTATATTTCAAGTTTCAACAAAATCGGATAAAAATTGTGACCTCTATAGGGTCCACAACCTTGATATACCATATTTTTACGCTATTTGAGAATGAACGGCGGCCATTTTGTCTGTCAATTTTGGGCCGATTTTTATGAAAATCAAACTCAGTCATCCTTAGGGTGTAACGGTGATATAATAATACGTTTTTTTAAATCAGATAAAAATTATGACCTCTATAGGGTCCACAAGCTAAAAATGCGATTTTTCGTACAATCAGGGGCCATAATTCAGGAAATTACGGTCCGATATGTGCGAATATCGAAAGGAACCGAGATCTTTGGGTTATAGACTTACATTTCAAGTTTCAACAAAATCGGATAAAAATTGTGACCTCTATAGGGTCCACAAGCTAAAAACGTGATTTTTCGTACAAACAGGGGTCATAATCCATGAAGTTTCGATCCGATACATGCCAATATCGAAAGCAGCCGAGATCTTTTGGGGATAAACCTATATTTCAAGTTTCGTCGAAATCGGATAAGAATTGTGACCTGTAGAGAGTCCACAAACAATTGTGGACGGACGGGGGCGACGGCATAATACGTCCACATGAAAATGTGGGCGTATAAAAATTGTGACCTCTATAGGGTCCACAACCTTGATATACCATATTTTTACGCAATTTGAGAATGAAAGGCGGCCATTTTGTCTGTCAGTTTTGGGCTGATTTTCACGAAATTCGAACACAGCCATACTTAGGGTGTAACGGTGATATAATAATACACTATTTGAGTACGAGGGGCGGCCATTTTGTCTGTCAGTTTTAGTCCGATATTTACGAAATTCGAAGTCAACTATCCTTAGGGTGTAATGGTGATATAATAGAACGTTTTTTTTAAATCGGTTAAAAATTATGACCTCTATAGGGTCCACAAGCTAAAAACGCGATTTTTCGTAAAATCAGGGGCCATAATTCAGGAAGTCACGGTCCGATATGCGCGAATATCGAAAGGAACTGAGATCTTTGTTTTATAAATAACATATTTCAAGTTTCAACAAAATCGGATAAAAATTGTGACCTCTATAGGGTCCACAACCTTGATATACAATATTTTTACGCTATTTGAGAACGAAGGGCGGCCATTTTGTCTGTCAGTTTTGGGCCGATTTTCCCGAAATTCGAACTCAACTGTCCTTAATGTGGAAAGGTAATATAATAATACGTTTTTTTAAATCAGATAAAAATTATGACCTCTAATGGGTCCACAAGCTAAAAACATGATTTTTCGTACAATCAGGGGCCATAAATCAGGAAGCTACGGTCCGATATGGGCAAATATTGAAAGGAACCGAGATCTTTGGGTTATAAACTTATATTTCAAGTTTCAACAAAATCGGATAAAAATTGTGACCTCTATAGGGTCCACAACCTTGATATACCATATTTTTACGCTATTTGAGAATGAACGGCGGCCATTTTGTCTGTCAATTTTGGGCCGATTTTTATGAAATTCAAACTCAGTCGTCCTTAGGGTGTAACGGTGATATAATAATACGTTTTTTTAAATCAGATAAAAATTATGACCTCTATAGGGTCCACAAGCTAAAAATGCGATTTTTCGTACAATCAGGGGCCATAATTCAGGAAATTACGGTCCGATATGCGCGAATATTGAAAGGAACCGAGATCTTTGGGTTATAGACTTACATTTCAAGTTTCAACAAAATCGGTCGGGTCCACAACCTTGATATACCATTTTCTTACGCTATTTGAGAACGAACGGCGGCCATTTTGTCTGTCAATTTTGGGCCGATTTTCACGAAATTCGAATTCAGTCGTCCCTAGGGTGTAACGGTCATATAATAATACGTTTTTTTAAATCGGGTAAAAATTATGACTTCTATAGGGTCCACAAGCTAAAAACGTGATTTTTCGCACAATCAGGGGTCATAATTCAGGAAGTTACGGTCCACTATGCACATCCTTAGGGTGTAACGGTGATATAATAGAACGTTTTTTTAAATCGGATAAAAATTATGACTTCTATAGGGTCCACAAGCTAAAAACGTGATTTTTCGTACAATCAGGGGCCATAATTCAGGAAGTTACGGTCCGATATGCACAAATATCGAAAGGAACCGAGATCTTTGGGTTATAAACTTTCATTTCAAGTTTCAACAAAATCGGATAAAAATTGTGACCCCTATAGGGTCCACATCCGCACCCCCGTAGGATAGCTATCAAATTTTACACTGAGCCGTCTGAGCTTTGGATTGTTTGGATGTTATACAGTTATGATATCATTATCAGAATATCAAAGAGTAACATCTTATCTAACTTGTTGGAATACAGAAAATATGACATTGTTTTACTTGATTCTTCATGCAGATTTCGTCTTCCTAATCTTATACAGCATAATAAAGCTCTGAACCTTCTCTTGAGATTAACTAAGATTAAGAAAATATCTTTCATTACGTTTTGATCAGAGAGCTAGGCTACATCACATCGTATCGCCCACAAAATTGGCCACAAATGTAATGTCTAATTCATCACATGGACACAAATATTTATTAATAATTAAGTATTCTGTGAATACTCAGCCTGATCGGAAGAAATCATTTTAGTAATTGTATAGGTCTAATAAATAAATACCAATATGACATTCGGGAAATGACTTGATAATGATAATGATAATATGACTAAATAAATAGCCTGACGGCTCAGACTAATGACAGATTCGGATGTTGTCGTCATAACCGGTTCATTAAACTGAGATTTTTTGGTTGATCAGTTCGTTGTGAAATTATTAATATCATGTATACCTGCACATCTTCATTTCTTAATTCGTCAATTAACACTGCAATTGGGTACAGAGAATCATCACCAGTATCAGACGACGCCATTTTGAATGAATTTCGACATTCAACCGGAAATTTAACTAGTACGCATGCCTGGATTAGCGAAGACTGTCAGTCATTTGGCCACAGATCACTGATGTTTTCCCCATTGACTTTATAAATAATGTTAATTCTCGTCTCTTAGACCGGCTCTAACTTTTTCCCAAATTTTCGTTGGGTAGAACACTTTCGACCATAGATGAAACAACATGTGGCAACCTCTTGCCCAAAAGCACGTATAAGGTTCACCATGGGAAACTTGAGATACACAATCTGGAAGTAGAGACAATTAAACATGCAATTTTGGACTCTACATTTCAACCTAACCAACCTCTCAACTCTTGTATCCTTCCGCCTCAAAATCATGAATATTCACCAAAACCTGGCAGAAAATATATTTTCAAACCCTTTTCTTCGATTCTACACCAAAAAGTCAACAAAAATCGCCATGAAAAAGGGGGGGGAAAAGGAAAAAGGAGAGAAAGACTAAAAATAACTTTCGCCCTACATTCATGTGCTGTGTCCTATATACAGCAAACTGTCCTGTACGAAAGACCGGCAATGACTTTATTTAAGAAGGGTTGAAGATTATAAGTTATGATAGCCTTTCTATAACATCCTGCCCTTCATAGAAAATATAATACAAACGATGTAGCTAATAAATTAAACAACACATCACAATAATTTACAACAGAGGAAAGAAAATATATACAAATCAATTAAAAGATTAATTTAAGTAAGTAAGTACATGTATACTGGGCCCCAAAGAAAACGCATCACTTAGTTTTTCGTATAACAAAATGATCCTGTAAACATATCTTATTTATTTTGCTTCTTATTGTGAACAAATTCAAATGGGAACACATCAATAACAACACATTTGTACACTTATGGATGTTTAATCTGTAATCAACGGTACAAAGTCAGAGGGGTCAAAGCCAAAAGTACGACACAGATGTCAGTAGTGCGTGTGTCCTCCACGGGCTCTTACGCACGCTGTGCAGCGACGTCGCATGGAATTTACCAATGTTTGAAAGAGGGCCTTGGGCAAATTGTTCCATTCTTGGACAAGAGCAGCTTCTTAAGCAGCAATGATGTGCATCTGTGGTCTCCGATACAGACGGCGTCCAATCTCATCCCAGACATGTTCTATCGGTGCCATGTCCGGAGACATGGATGGCCAGTCCAAGACATTGATGTTGTTAGCAGCCAGGTAGTCCATACTAAAACGGGCGATATGCATTATCCTGTTGGAAGTGCTGAAGTTGTGGGTGCGCTCGTAACATCGGAACAACAATTGGTTGCAAGACATCATCGCGGTAGGCTAAAGCATTAACGCGACCCCTGCAAATGTGTAGGGCGGTACGGTGATGAAATGTGAAGCCTCCCCACACCATTACACTTCCCCCACTCCATCGATTCGTTGCGAAGACGCAGTAGTCTGCAAGACGTTCCCCAAGACGTCTCCACACACGTTGACGGCCATCAGCGTGATAAAGATGAAAGCGACTCTCATCACTGAAGAGCACACTTTGCCAGTCTACTTTTCTCCATGTCTGATGTCATTGAGCCCATATCAAACGCCGCTGACGGTGATGATCCCTGAGGATAGCTCCAACGTAAGGTCGTCGTGCACGGAGTTCTACTTCTCTTAGACGACGTCTTACGGTGTTGGCACATGGCACTTACTGGTCCTTGTCTTCCGACGACTGCTGCACCAGTTCGAGTCGCTGGGCGGAATCTGTCACGCAGATGAGTGACCCGGATGTAGCGGTCCTGAGCCTGGATTGTAACGCGTTGTGGTCCAGGACGTTGAAGGTCACGTGTTGATCCAGTAACTCGAACACGTTCCACCAACCTTACAATAGTGGACTGGTGACAATTGAAGTGACTGGCAATAGCACTTGTAGACATGCCAGCCCTGGACATTCCCATGGCTTCATTCCGTTGATTTTCAGTAAGTCTCGGCATCTCTAGCTCGATTCCTTCACACGTCCAATAACAAATTACGACAGATTGACGTTTCACAGTTCATGTACTGCACATTAAGTTGAAAACATGCTTTTAAAGGGCTCACACATAATGCTGCACGTGAATATTGGGTTTTTCATGTGCATCTCGTGCAATTTTTTGTGTGCACACGGGCCGATATTTTTTGCGTTTGGGAGCATTGTGTGAAACAATAGTTCATAGTATTGCATAATATTATACATACAAAACCACCTAGTAATAAAATATTTGGGAAAAAAAGTGATGCGTTTTCCATGGCGCTACGGGTCTACAATGGTGTGGGAATCAGTATAGAAATGGGATATCAGTACTACAATGGTAGAACTACTAGTAGGCCTACACTAACTAGAAATTGGATACGTAAGACCAACGCAGTAACGGGCGACGATCATTATATCATCATTCATTATCAAAGTCAATATTCGTCTAAATAAAAGATAGATAGTTTTCGCAGATTAGGATGTATTTATTATCTTCCGACATGTATAAACAATAAAAAGAATGGAAAACGGATTAATAAATGATGCAGCCAGCTTTTATAAGCGTACGTAATAGTTGCTACACTATAGGCCTATAGGCTAAAAGCTAATGTTTTGGGTCAACCAAATTAATCGCACATTTATTTTTTTCAAAAGTATCAAGCAATCAAACTGATTATCAACTATACACAAAGTGTCATCACTCTCTATCAGATAGAATCAAAGTTATCTTGTCCGAAAGCATTGACCAATGGCATTACTTAGTTCTGCTTAGTAGCTCGAAATATTAATCACTGAACTCAGTCAAGACATTTCACCTAATGAACACTGCATCTACATCAAGTTTAAACATTCTACCTCAATTAAAAGCAGAGTTGTTATGTTCCAAAGTCTTGACCAATCAAATTGCTTATCACTCCTTGGCCTAAGCAGAAAATTCTCGTCATCGAACTTAGTAAAGGTAATGGTATAATGAATCTATACTCGAAGAAGTTTCATCACTCTCGCTTAATTATAACCAAAGTTATCGTGCCCCAAAGCATCAGTCATTCAGATTGCTTATCTCTGCTTACCTTAAGCAGACAATGCTTATAATCGAACTCCATCAAGGCACCAAGTTTGAACACCCTACTTCAATTAGAAGGAGAGTTATTGTGTTCCAAAGTCTCGACCAATCAAATTGTTTATCGCTCTGCTTACCCTTAGTCAAGGTATTGGTGTTCTGGATGATATAGAGACTACGTTTCAAAATAAACAAAATAGACATAAAACCGTTCTTTTCCGGAGTGCCTGTGTATTTTATTACTTATATAATTTGTCAATTTTAGTTTTTTCTATTCTACAAACTGAGTTTGTAAAGCGCCACTGAGCAACTCTAGTTTTTGGATATTCAGCTGAACATAAATGATAAATTATAATGTTGACGGTCATTGTAGGGGACAACACTGGTGTATAATTTTGCAGGATCAGTCCATGATTATTCTCATCTGTATTCAGTAGCATAGGCGTACGAGCCAGGGGGGCGGGGGGGGGGGCAGCTGCCCCCCTAACTTTCGGGCAAGCTGACTTTTCGGGCAGAAGGGTAAAGTGAAAAAAATTTTTTATTTCATCTACTTGGCAAAATAAAGTGCCCGAGATCTAATAAAACACTAATTTTACGGGCTGGAATAGCAGTAAAACGCGTTTGCGGCCGTCAAATATTCCAAAATTTTCTTCGGGGGTCCATATAAGGTCAGTTCTGCTTCTTCACCTCTCGAAGAAAACTGGCGCCGTTGTCTGTAAACCTGAAATTTTTTCGGGCATTTCTAGTTTTTCTTCCCTGTCATTGAGCCCTAATAAAACACTAATTTTACTTTTCTTTTAATTGAATACCACAAATTTGTACTGATTTGACTATGAATTAAAACATTTTTTCTGGAGCCACTCTACTTTGTGCGACATTTTTCGAGCATCGATTATTATTTGTGAATGCAGCTGCAACAGTCTGATTGGATGGTTGGAATTTAGAATGGGATTTCGATTACAAAACCATTGACTACTTTTGGAGTTGCTTACACGAGCTAGAATAGCCGAAAACGCATTTGCGGTGGTTAGATTTTCAAAATGTTCTCCGGGAGGGTGAGGCCCCGAGGGTGAGGCTCCCCATACCCCGCGACGATTGATTGGTTGTTTGAAATTCGGGTCAGCCAGGTAGGCTATATTGGACCAAATTGAAGTTGCTGTATTCAGAGACTGGAATAGCAGGAAAACGCGTATGCGGCTGTTAAATTTTCAAAATTTTCTCCTAACGGTCCCGTCTCAGTGGACTGTAAACGATTGATCTTTTGATTGGAATTCGAGTCAGCCATCTTAATTAGGCTATATTAGATCACTTTGAAGTTGCTTTGTTGACGGGCCGAAATAGCAGGAAATTATGTTTGCAGCCGTCAAATATTCACGAATTTTCTTGGGGGGGAGGGGGGGGGATACAATACAAGGGGAGCTCTGCTTCTTCGCCTCTCGAGGAAGATCTGCGCCGCTGTCTGTACACCCGAAATTTTTTCGGGCATTTCGGGTTCTGCCCCCCTAACTGTAATCGAGCCCGTACGCCTTTGTTCAGTAGTTAGTAGAAGGAACATGTATAAATGTATGGGCTGGCATGGCAAGCTTGCAAATCAGCAGAATACAACCAAAGCAGCGCCTTTTCACCAATGACCAACGATTATCTTCAAATGACCACTGACCATCACCATTACTGCTATATGTTTCGTTATCTGAACGTGTCTCATGCCAAATATGTGATTTTGGTTAATAATCATAACATTTTTGTGACAAAATCGTACTTTAACAATCGCTTGGTAGCCGAAGAGAATCGGGTTATAAATCGTGTGTAGTTTTGCAGGGATGAGACCACGGTTATTAAGATCTGTATTAAACAGCATGATATATTTATTGTCCACATGCACCTTTAAAAAGAACCACGAGAAGAAACATTTAGAAGTTTTTATGGATAGACATACAACTCTGGCGGTGTCCAAGTTCAGATTGGGAAGATGGCATATAAATCACAACAGGATGTACAGTATGGCACTCCA